TGGAGTGATATCATAGCATCTTCAGCACTCCTGCATGGTGCCATGAAGGCTACAGCACACTCCAAAGTCCATTCCTGTGCCAAAGAACTGGGACACACAATCACCAGCCACCCGGACAGATGTCCTGCCAGTCCCCTGCAGAGCAACTTGGGGACTACTTTAACAACAGCCAAGACACAACCATGGCAGCTGTCAGCAAAGGAATAGATAAATACAGTGGGCCCAGCATTGTGGCATAGTGGGTTAAGCTGCAACTTGGGATGCCCATGTCCCATGTTAGTTTCCCATTCAGCTTTCTGAAAATGTGCACCCTGGGAGGCAGCAGACAATGTGCTTGGGGCCCTGCTATCCAGGTGGGAGACCTGAATGGAGTTCCCAGCTCTTAGCTTTGGCCTGCCCAGCCCTGATTGTTGCAGACATTTGGAGAAAATCAACCAACCAACCAAAATCAATCAATCAATTTTTCTCTCTCTTTCAACTACATAAACAAAAAAATTAAAACCAAAGAAAGCAATCTCAACCCCTAAGGAATATAGGGAGGAGATGGAGTCATTAGGATCATGAAGCCTGGAGAAGAGACTCAGTAGATTGGATACCAGATTCTGAGGAGTAGGCGCTTTCCAGCTGGTACCTAGAATGTCAAAGACTGAAACTAACCATCGCTGCCAGGGTAAAAACAGGAACAGCAAACAGAGAGGAGAAAACTATTCTCCCTTCTTCCAGCCTCCCAGTTTCCTTGTGGTACCCTTCTAGGCAGAAGGTACTTAAGAGTCAGCTTCCAGGACTCCTGGTCCAAATGCAAAGCCGAGTATAGAAGGGTAGGTTTTCAAGGTAGAGACAATGCTTAAGTGCTAACTAACACACATACTTCTGTGCACGCAGGCAAGTAGAGCAGGCGGCAGGAGCTCATCATGGTCCCCTCGCCTGATGAAGTGTGACCTGTGCTGACATAAATCAAAAAGACTCACCCCTTTTGATTGTGTCCCCATTGAATGGCTCCATGAATGACAGTAAGTCAGTACCACTTCCCACAAGGTATGAATATTGTCCTTTTTATCACATGCACCATAACACTTGACCTTCAAAGAACAGTCAGTTGTGTGATCACACAATGTAGGTATTCGTAACAATCACCTGCTACAGAGAAATCCCAAGACAAAAACCACAGGGCTCATGGTAAAATTATGGATGGCTCGTAACCCTCACAGAAAACAATCTAACAAATAGACAAGCACATTTTTACACATTTAAAAGCACAAACACTACAGTAACTATGAACAAAATCTTGAGAAATGACCACAGGTGATTGTGAAGAGGTGTCAGATGGCTACAGCTTATGAGTTACTGTAAAATGGCAGAAGGTGGTCATCTGAGATTGGAGAGTAGCTATAACAACAGAGGTGGGTGGTGGGGCTCGTGACACAAGGAGAAGTGATGGGGATGTCTGGGGTTGTGTGTTTACGTATTACAATGCAGCTGTTCAGCTGGCTGCAGCGTCCTGCTTTCACCTAATGTGTCCTGAGGACAGAATCTCACATAAGCCAATGCAAGAGCCACATTACAATTCAATTATCCTTCATATGTAGATCACATGGGAACAAATTAACAAGCCCAAAATAATATTAGAATGAGGCTGAGTATATCCTGGAGGCCACGTGGTGTCACCATCACTCTTCCACAGGTGGACACTGACTCACAAAGATGAAACATCTCACTCAAAGTTCTTCAGAGAAGGAAAAAAAGGCATACTTCCTTTCCTGGTATATCACTTGACAGGATGAGGTCAAAGCAGAACCTGAGGGCAGCTTTCAGCGCGGTTTTGTCAATGATCTTCTCCAGGTGGGTTTAAGTGCCCTGGGACAGAATGGCTGGTGATCTCAGTCTGCTTTTAGTCAATGTTTAACGCAGAGCTGCTGAGCAAAGGAATGCGTGTCCCTCCTGTATTTTCCCAGAAATGCACTTCCAGATCTGAGTTAGAGTGATCCTCAAACGATGTTGGATCATACTTGAAACCCATCGAAATAAATGCCCCAACCTCCTGAACATTCCAGAAATAAAACCTCACATGAATTTCTAAGTTCATTCTTCCATCTTCTGCCACAGTGATCTTTTGAAAATGCAGCAATCATAGTGCCAGTCCCATGCTGCATACCCTTCAAGGGGTCTTCCCTGCCCAAAAGACAAGGCTCAGCCTCCTTAGCATGGGATGGGTCTTCCTATCTGTAGCACTTGTTTATTCATCCAACTGCATCTCCAGTAAGCCTCCACCTAACCCCCTCGCAACTGGCAGCTGCGCTGTTTACTTTCCCTCTGTACACAGGTAACTTCAGAGCCACATACATTTGCCCATACTAGTTCCTCAGCTGAAATGCCCATGCCTCAGATTCCTGTATGCTTAACACCAACCCACTATTTGCCTACGAGCTCCTCTGACAGGAACATCTTTCTGATCCCCTCCCCATCTTGTGTGGCTCCCCACTGAACCCTGTGGAAACTCCTAGTATAAAACTCTGCTGTGAATATTTGTTTGAAGGTTGGCTTCCCCACCTTTCTTCACACACACACACACACACACACACCCGTACAAGCTTCCACAGGGATTGGTGTCTGTATAATCTGTATCCCTGGCACCCAGCTCGCGGTCAGGTGACTCAAAGTGTCACAAATGCTTAAGAGATGAATGCAGGCCAGCTACAACATTATCATGACAGGAGAGGAATGCAACAGCAATGCAGATCAATCTGGACCTCTTCTTTCCTTCATCTGAAATCTAGACCTTCGGTTCCACTAAATAATTTCTGTGCAAAGTAAAACCTACTGAGTTGGTTAAAGCAAGTGATTACTCCACGTAGTGAATTATTTTGCCAAGATAAAGATGGCCTGGGGACACCAATGTAGAAGATTCTTAAGGACAGGAAACTCACAGATGCTGTGCACAAAATCATATTGAAGAAATTATAGTCAGTGCCAAGGAAGTGAACATTAGACCACAGGCAACACTCTCTCTGGGTGAATTATAAGTGAGGTATCTGCATAAGAAGCTATGGAGGAAGACTTCTGTGGGTAATAAACACTTCTTTACAGATTCTAAGGACTGTAAGAAAACTGCTCCCCTAAAGCGTGAGATTGACACTCTCTCTGTTTAAGTTACAGCAGCCAGACATCCTGTTCTACACTGAGGCCAACTTAAATCAAAACACCATAAAGAGTTTGCAAACAGCAGCTCTTCAACGTTATAACTAACATGCATGGCTCGATGGTTTGCTTGCATGGAATTTTTCTGGATGTACATTCTTCAAGAAGTCTCCTGTATTTAAGGGTGGCTCACTGACCTGGGCAGCAGTGACACAATCATTAATTATGTAATGACAGAGCCAGTCCCAGGGTGTACACCGGGCATAAGCTTTTTGAAAATGTATCCTAGAAATAACCCAACAAAAGCCTACTCCTTGCCCCCTTTCCAATTTGGGTTGAGCACTTCTTAGCAGGAGGAAATGGTAAATCCTGAGAATCATTTTCTGACAGCTCACGACCTAAAATAGATACAGGCAAATTCAAAAGCAGACAATACCTGTCCTCTTTAGGAAAGAGGGTGACACTGGAACTGGAGGCCTATTTTTCCACATGTCTAAGGAAGATTTCCAGAGTAAACCTCACCATCACCTCAAATCCCTTATGCTTCAAACAGCCTCCAGTGGTCTTTTCCCCAGAAACACACTGGCTTGCCCAACAGCCCAGTTTCCCAGAATAGCAGGATCATCTGCCTAGTTAGAATCACTGGTTAAAACCCTCGAATGGTTTTTCACTCCTGTTCATTTTCTCTGATGCTAAATGTCACTGCTTCATTTTAAAATCTTAATGCCAAAGACATCTATAACTTCTTATGCCTGTGCTTTGGAATCAGAGCTAACTGGCCTCCAAAATTCACACCGCCAGCTGCCGCTGGGAAGTGACCGCCTGGACAGAAGTTCTCTTTTCACCCCCACTACTTGCAGTACTGCATGATGATGAATTAGCACTAGACCACAGACTGCGAGCATAAGTAAAATGTGCCATTTCCAGTCCAGGCCCATGGAATGCTCCCTCACAAAACCCTTTGCACTTTCCCTCCTCTGTTGGCAGCAATAAAACATGGGGCCTGAATGCATGGTGGAGTCACAGAATGGGAGAAGACTAGATTCTGAATCACCACGTAAAGGAAAGCAACCCTCTGTACACCACCACCCACATCTAACCCACGCACGACGAAATAAATCTCACTGTACGGAAACACTAAACCTTCAGCTTCCATTTTCACAATACAAAAACGAGACTGGAAACATTTAAGGTTACAGTTAAAACCATTTTCATGTGTATAATAAAGAGGGCTATGGAATTGTTCCTGATCACTTGAAACATCTTTCTTAGGGTATATTACGGCTTTTTGAATGTGATGATAGCATAGTTATAAATACACACAAACATATATATGTGTGTATATATCTATATATATGTTTATATATAAAAGCAACCCTCAAAAAGTTCATGGAAAATACATACTATGAAAAAATATGGGAGTCAGCACTGTGGTGTAGTGGGTAAAGCCACTGCTTGCAGCACCAGCATCCCATTCGGGTGCCAGTTTGAGTCCAGATTGCTCTACTTCCAATCCAGCTCCCTCTAATGCAACTGGGAAAGCAGTAGAGGATGGCCCAAGTGCTTGGGCCCCTGTCCCCACATTGGAGACCCAGAAGAAGTGCCTCATGAGCCTGGCTGAGCCCTGACTGTTGTGGTCATTTGGAGAGTGAACCAGTAGATGCAAGATCTTTCTTTGTCTCTCCTTCTGTCTCTGTAACTCTTTCAAATAAATAAATAAATCTTTAAAAAAAAGAAAAATGTATGAATTTCTTTTTTTTAACTTTTATTTAACAAATATAAATTTCCAAAGTACAGCTTATGGATTACAGTGGCTTCTTCCCCCCATAACTTCCCTCCTGCAACCCTCCCATCTCCCGCTCCCTCTCCCATTCCATTCACATCAAGATTCATTTTCAATTTTCTTTATATACAGAAGATCGATTTAGTATATATTAAGATTTTAACAGTTTGCACCCACACAGAAACACAAAGTGTAAAGTACTGTTTGAGTACTAGTTATAGCATTAATTCACATTGTACAACACATTCAGGACAGAGATCCTACATGAAGAATAAGTGCATAGTGACTCCTGTTGTTGACTTAACAAATTGACATTCTTGTTTATGGCGTCTGTAATCACCCTAGGCTCTTGTCATGAGCTGCCAAGGCTATGGAAGCCTTTTGAGTTCACCGACTCTGATCATATTTAGACAAGGTCAAAGTCAAAGTGGAAGTTCTCTCCTCCCTTCAGAGAAAGGTACCTCCTTCTTTGATGGCCTGTTCTTTCCACTGGGATCTCACTCGCAGAGATCTTTCATTTAGGTTTTTTTTTTTTTCCTGAGTGTCTTGGCTTTCCATGCCTAAAATACTCTCATGGGCCCTTCTGCCAGATCTGAATGCCTTAAGGGCTGATTCTGAGGCCAGAGCACTGTTTAGGACATCTGCCATTCTATGAGTCTGCTGTGTATCCCGCTTCCCATGCTGGATTGTTCTCTCCCTTTTTGATTCTATCAGTTAGTATTAGCAGAAACTAGTCTTGTTTATGTGATCCCTCTGACTCTTAGACCTATCAATATGATCAGTTGTGAACTGAAATTGATCACTTGGACTAGTGGATGGCATTGGTACATGCCACTTTGACAGGATTGAATTGGAATCCCCAGGCACGTTTCTAACTCTACCATTTGGGGCAAGTCCGGTTGAGCATGTCCCAAATTATACATCTCCTCCCTCTCTTATTCCCACTCTTATATTTAACAGGGATCACTTTTCAGTTAAATTTAAACACCTAAGAATAACTGTGTGTTAATTACAGAGTTCAACCAATAGTATTAAGTAGAACAAAAAAAAAATACTAAACGGGATAAAGTATTAAGTTGTTCATCAACATTCAGGACAAGGGCTGATCAAGTCACTGTTTCTCATAGTGTCTGTTTCACTTCAACAGGTTTCCTTTTTGGTGCTTGGAAAAGACCCCGGAGGCACAGGAAGTCAAAGCCAAAATTAACTATTGGGATTGCATCAAAGTGAGAAGTTCTGTACTGGCAAAAGAAACAGTCAGGAAAGTGAAGAGGCAACTGACAGAATGGGAAAAAATATTTGCAAACTATGCAACAGATAAAGGGTTAAGAACCAGAATCTACAAAGAGATCAAGAAACTCCACAACAACAAAACAAACAACCCACTTAAGAGATGGGCCAAGGACCTCAATAGACATTTTTCAAAAGAGGAAATCCAAATGGCCAACAGGCACATGAAAAAATGTTCAAGGTCATTAGCAATCAGGGAAATGCAAATCAAAGCCACAATGAGGTTTTACCTCACCCCGGTTAGAATGGCTCACATTCAGAAATCTACCAACAACAGATGCTGGCGAGGATGTGGGGAAAAAGGGACACTAACCCACTGTTGGTGGGAATGCAAACTGGTTAAGCCACTATGGAAGTCAGTCTGGAGATTCCTCAGAAACCTGGATATAACCCTACCATACAACCCAGCCATCCCACTTCTTGGAATTTACCCAAAGGAAATTAAATTGGCAAACAAAAAAGCGGTCTGCACCTTAATGTTTATTGCAGCTCAATTCACAATAGCTAAGACCTGGAACCAACCTAAATGCCCATCAACAGTAGCCTGGATAAAGAAATTATGGGACATGTACACTATAGAATACTATACAGCAGAAAAAAAAAATGAAATCCGGTCATTTGCAACAAAATGAAGGAATCTGGAAAACATCATGCTGAGTGAAATAAGCCAGTCCCAAAGGGACAAATATCATGTTTTCCCTGATCGGTGACAATTAACCGAGCACCAAATGTATGAATTTCAAAAATGTTTCACACCAAAATAAGCTCAGCTTTTAATTTTTGCATGAACTTCCCGAAGCATTTTCATGTATACAGGAGAGCTTCAAGACATTTGTGGAAAATGCGCATTACCTTTCAATTCAATTAAAATCAAAATTCAAAACCCATGCATAGTCTTTCATAATTTGCTTATCCACAGACCTTTTGAAGATCCTCATATGCATGAATTCCAAAATATTTTGCACCAAAGTGGATTTATTTTTAATTCCCTATTTGTGAGGTACCCTCATGTACACACATCTCACGTATGTATGCACCATTTATTGAGCTCTTTATATGCTCAGCAGGGATCACACAAATACATGTCTTATGTATTTTAATTGTATAAATATCCTGCAAGCTGAACACTGCTACAGTGCCTCCTTTCATAAATGAGAAGGCACAGAGGTTGAAGGTAAACGCCTAGTTTGCACAGCTGGAAGGTAGCAGACAGAACCAAAGCCTGAGTCTCTTTCTCTAAAGCTCAGGTCTCAATTCTTTACTACCCTGTCTTCTTTATAGAGAAAAAAAAAAAAAAGATAAGAAAGCTGCATAAGGGCTCTTGCTCCAGTTACCATGTGGAATTCTGCATGTTTTAAACATGCATGTCAATTTATTTCCTGCCATAACAGAATAGGCAATTTGGTATGCTGGTTAACATCACTGAAGAGTGGTAGAAAGGTGGCTTCAGGGTAGAGTTTCCAGCTTGACCTCAGCAGCTGGCTAATGAGGAAAATTTTCTACTGCTCACCTCTGTCTTCCCCACACCCCAAGAAAGGTGGTCCACCCCTTACCCACCCCATGAGTACCTCCACACATGAACACCTCCAGTATCACACTTGTACCATTTTTAAATTCAACCATTTTCAGAATCTGGACTTTAGACTTAGTCTTCAGAACAGTATATTCTTCTGAGAAGGTAGGATAAAGGGAGAAGGTGCCAAAGCAATCATCATGGCTTAATTTTCTTCCTCTCCTTGAGAAAATTCAGATGTGATAGCTTGGACTGTGCCTCTTAACTATCTTAAGAAATGCACAAGATGTCAAAACAAATCTATCATTAAAAAATAATGACCTTTGCATAAACTGTACTGCTTATGGCCATCACTTCCCAAATTACAGGCTAAAGGGATACCTATCAGTCACTGACTCTTCCCTACCCAGTGTAACTTATCTGGCCAACTGTGCCTGACAAAGCAGTTCCCAGCAGACAACAGGGCAGCCAATTTGTTAAGCAAGGTAACCAGAGAGGCAGAGGTCATCTCTCAGAGGGCACCGACCTTCTAACCCACAACAGGCCCCGCACAGGTGTTCTATATGCCAACCTTGGCACAAAATGTAACTTGCTGAGTTAAAACGAAGACAAAGACAAATTAGGCACTTCCATGAGAGAACTGATTTTTTTTTTCCTATTGCTATGGTAACACTACTCCATTTTAAGAGGGAGAAAAGGGAGAGTTGGGCCTTAAAAAATAAGCTATAAAATTTGTCAATGATGTATCAAAAAGGATATTGCTTTAAATTATTTCACTGGTAGAATTCATGCAAGAGGAATAATCTGATACACAGGTAAAACATATACCTCTAAGATGTTTATTAAAAGTCAAATTGGAAAAACCTAAACGGACAAAGAATAAGTTATTAATTAAATTCACACAATAGAATCCCAGAGGGCCAATATGATAAAGGATGTAGCTGTATGTTTACTGACAGGCATGCATGCTCATTGTATTTCACAAGCTACAAGATAGCACATCATTTAATTCCATTATAGAAATTTCCCAGGTAAAAATGTCTGAAAATATTTATATTAAAACACTAATAGCACCAGAGAAACGGGGTTAGGGGTTGGACTTGGAATGTCCTCCAAGTGCTTGCCAGTCTTTTGTATGATGACTTTTCATTATTTGTGTAATAGAAAACAATAGACCCATGGCAACATCCATTACTCCTTCCTGCTGACCCTTCCCTGCTGTTTCTTCTTATGAGAGGAGAATTCTTGTCCCCAAAGACATTAGGCCTACCTATACAATGGACTGTAATAAAACAAAAATTATAGTACATGTGCAACTCCTGGCAAAACTCTGAACGCTATCACATACTTCCACCAAATTTAATTTTTACTCCACCCTGACACAGGCGTGTCCTAGACAGGAAGTGCTTCTTCAACCTAGATAGCAAAATGGAGTTGATAGAAGCAGAATTGAGCTGACTAGAACAGCCATAATGTGGCTGAGAAATCAAACTTGGGTTCTTGCAAGTCACTGTGATTTGGGGGCAATTTGCCACCCTAGCATAACACAATAGAAATTGACTGATAGAGTAAATTAAGTATAAATAAAATAGTGTCTCAATTGCCTCTCTGACTAGTTTAGGAATTTTATGTTTAAGTCAGAACTCTCTTTTAGGCTTTATTTATTTGCGAGGCAGCATGGCACAGAGAGGAGTAGAGAAGGAATCTGTGGGTTCCCTTGCCAAATGCTCACATCAGCCAGGGATACTCCAGGTTGAAGCCAGCAACCCGGAACTCCACTGTGCTCTCCCCAACAGATGGCAAGAATCCAAGTATTTGCACCATCGTTTGTTGCCTTCCCTGATGCCTCAGCATGAAGCTGGATCAGAAAGAGAGTAGAGAGCAGTTCAAGTGCTATTCTTTTTTATATAAAGATTTATTTTATTTTTTGAAAGGCAGAGGGAGAGTGAGAGGGAGAGAGAGAGAGAGAGAGAGAGAGAGAGAGAAATAGAGAGAGAGAGGTCTTCCATCCGCTGGCTCACTCCCCAGATGGCCATCAACATCCGGAGCAGTTCCGATCCAAAGCCAGGAGCTTCCTCCGGGTCTCCCCCATGGGTGCAGGGGCCCAAGGACTTGGGCCATCTTCCACTGCTTTCCCAGGCCATACAGAGAGCGGGATTGGAAGTAGAGCAGCCGGGTCTTGAACCGGTGCCCACATGGAATGCCAGCACTGCAGACCAGGTCTTTAACCCACTGCGCCACAGCGCTTGCCCCTGAACTGCTATTCTGATAAGGGATGCAGGTATCCTAAGCAGCAGCTTAACCTGTTATCCCACAGTTCCCACTCCCATTAAGAGTGTGTAAAAACTATTTGTGGAAGTTTATTGCACCCAGCCTTCTGTTCTACCTTTCTGTCTCCCCACTTCCTCTCCGAGGCTTGCTGCTGACTCCTCTGCCTTTCATGACTGATTCAGGCTCCACTATTCTTTCTGCTATCTAGGACTACTCGTTTCTTGTCTGCACATGGTGGCCATGGTCAATAGCATGGCTAATGATACTCTCTTTTGCTTCTCTTTCTAAAATTGACTTCAATTTTTATCTGATAAATAATAACTGCATATGTCCCATGTATGTATTAGATGACATTCAATGTGATATTTTGATATACATGTATAGTGCAGAATGATGACATAAAGCTAATGAACAAATTCATTACCTCATTTATATTTTTGTGTGATGTAAACATTTAAAACCTACTCTTGTGATGATTTTTGAAATAATACATTCTTACTTACTGTTGTCACCAAGCAAAGCTCTTTATATACCATTTTGAGATTCATCTTCCTTAACTACTGCTTTACAGTCTACCACCACTAGTTTAAGGCTCCCTGGTCCTTCAGCTTAGAATCCAGGCCATTGCTTAACTCTTAATATGAACACCCACCAGCAGCCTACCATTATTTTCTCTGCACACTTCACATAGGTATTATGATATTATTAGCCTGAGCTCTCTGAAGAACAAAAATAAAGGTTACTCTGCTAGTGGAATGATTTATTGATTATCTCTGATATACTGAAATCCAGGTAGCACAGCCTTGAGATGCAGGTAACAAAGTGGAGAGAGTAACAAGACACAGTGATAATCTCCAATGATAGCTACCAAGTATTCCTGCCATTCCCAAAAACAGAAGAGATAGAATCAAGGTTGGCTTTGTGACTTGCTTGGGCAATAAAAATCCAGAGGATGCGATATGCTGAGACTTCCAAGACCAGGAGAGACCTGGCATTCACCTCTCTCAGCCCAGCTGCCCAGTTCTCAGGAAGCCCAGGACAGATCACGGAAGGCTAAGAGGACACATAGACAGAGGCTTGGGGGAATAAAGCCACGTGGGACTTACCTGCTCCAGCTGAGTTCCCACTGAAAGCGACTCCCTAACAATGGGTATTCTCTTGACTTCTGCCCTGAATCAACATGACCCCATCCTCTTAGGGAACGGTGGTCTATGGTGCCCCAGAGACAGTACTCTCAGCACAGCAGCAGCACTAGACTGCCCTCGGTGACTCAACAGGCAGTGAACATAAATGGTGAGAAAAGAGGTTTGGATGCACACGGAGGGAGGAGGAAAAGATGGCAGACACTATGTGATAAGCATGGCTGAGAGAGTAGTGTATCAGATACAACTAGACAGAAACCAAGGCTGTAGGTCTCTGCTGTAGGCATGGGCAAGAGGCAGTGCAACATGAGCTCCCACTCCTGTGGCTCTAGATCTGTTCCTACAAGCTGGTAAGGACACAGAGAGTCAGGTGTCATGGATCACAACTGAACACATTCCCACCCCTCACATCTGTGAGGCTGTGGGAATCCCAAGAGGACACACATTCATCATGGGCACAATTCCAAACTTGCAACATTGGAGAACACCAGGCCCAGATCGCAGCGATAGCCAGCCTATCACCAAACTCATCTTTCTTGAACCCAGGCACACGGACTACATTCCCTGGCCTCTCCTTGCAGTCGTGTGTGGGCCATGTGACTGAACTCTTGACAGCAGAACGGGGATGGAAATGATGAATGCCAGTTCCCAGCCTGACTGTGAAAATTCTCCATGTGCTCCCCCTTCCACAGCAGCCTTGGAAGTCACACACTGAAAACAGCAGAGCCCCAAGAAAGGGAGACCCTGAGTATCTGATCTACTGCTTGACTGAGATCCCCACCCAAAACAGAACATCCATTTTGGTGACTACAAACATGGGGCACTGCTGGGATTTGGGCATTTTTAACAGTAATTTATCTTTTAGGCATTCCTAACGTGTAACATGGCATCACTTAGCATCTTCACCGGAAAACATCCTTCAGTGCCAAGATATCCAACAAAGGGTCTCCAGGTGCCTTTGAAAACCTCAGGATAGTAATGAAGTCCTTAGGTTTTTCAATATTCAAAATGCCTAATGGAAATCCTACCTTTAGGTTTACAGTTAACCAAAACATCAGACATCTCTGCTTTGGCCTGGGTTACATCACCGCAATGCTGAAGCACTGGCAACCCCATGATCATGAGGAGCTCTGAGCTGCAGTTACAACAAAACAACCACTACCCTGAAACATAGCTTGGTTTGTCAAACTCTTTCCGCATATGAAATAATAAAAGGGATTGCTAGAGGTACAAAGCCTTGGAACCAGTATCTACACACCATTCTTTCCTTTCAGGTGTCTCTTAAGAAAAATGGGTATCACAACAGTGAACTTTAAGAGGGATTTAAGGATTACTAGGACACTCATGAATATTACTTTATCTTTTCAAAGCATCAAGAATCAATCTTGGCCACACCATTAACCTGTTGGATGGAGCTGAGCACATCAATTTTTCTGAACCTCAATTCAGAGGCCTCTTCCCTTTACCTACTGTGGCCCTCAAACTTAGAGGTCATGAACATCAGCTAGAGGGCTTGTTGAATCAGATGGCTGGGTCCTATCCCCAGTTTCTGACCTAGCAGGGGTGCGGTGAGGCCAAGGAAATGCATTTCTAGTAAGTTCCCAGGCATACCTGTTGGGTTCTCGGGGAAACAGAACCACTAGGGTGTGTGTGTAAAGTGGCAGGAATGGAGAATGAGGTGGATTGATTTCTGAGGAATCTGCTCCCCCCACTGTGGGCCTGGCAAGTGTAAAATATTCAGGGCAGGTCAGCAGAATGGACATTCCAGCAGTCAGTGTCATGGGGGTGAGAAGGCAGTGTGAATCGGAATTCCTCCCTCTTTGGCTGATCAGTCTTTTCTCTCAAGGCCTCCAACTGATTGGATGAAGCTCATCCGTATTATGGAGAGTTATCTGCTTCACTCAGAGTCAACTGAGTTCAATGTTCCTCATGTCTAAATTACACCTGCACAGCAATATCTAGACGGGGGCGATGGGCATCACTACGTAGGCAAACTGACACATAGACCAAACCGTCACATCAGTGACACTAAAGGTCTGGTATTCCTTTGAAAGCCACTCACTGCTCTGTAGGACTGCGGTGAAGACAAATTAGCTAAAAGTAGTAAAATCATCCGGTAGCAAATTTTTTGCAATGACAGTTGCCTTTTCTTTTTCTCCTTATGGGCCTTTTAATTTTCAGTCAACCAGAGAATCCAGTGTTGTACTCCCCCAAATGCTGAAGTTTGTTTCTGTAACAAGAACGTGTTACAGAGCATATCTGTGGTTGCTTCCTAAGTTCAAATAAGCAATTTTGGGATGAGACACTTGTTGATAGTCTCCGAGTCTTCTCTCCATTCCCTAAGTACAACACTCATACATTTAATTATAGTTCTCCAATGTGACAGATAAGATACTAAAACAAAGTTAGTATGATTTCCCATTCACCACTAAGATTTCTCAAACCTTCATGTGTATAAATTTAGAAAACTGAATTTCGAAATTAATGCTGATATTCTGACCAGATGCTTAATAATTATGTTACATAAATATGATAAATAATTTTGTATGTTAAAAAGTTGTAAACTGATGATTTAAATGAAATGCTAATTATTCTCTTTTAAGAGAGTTGTTTCCTACTAGGATTACATTCTTGCTTTCTGACACATTTTAAAAATCTGCACTTCACAGCAGTCAGGAAATAGCAGAATTTGGTTCTGATTTAATCAGATGAGAACTGATTCAGCTTCGGGCCAAAATGACACTTGGTGGGAGAGGTTGGGAGGCTTTCACACTACATATTTTAAAAAACACAAAAATCTCTTCCACTCCTCCCTTGAACTTTCACTCTGCTTGATTCCTAGATTTTAATTTCTAACTCCCTCAAGGGTAGAGAAAAGCCATCTAATATATTAGGATGTAAGGCATCTTTATAAGGCTTTTATAATGCTACATCAAATGAGCCACTTTTGAGAAACTAATTTTGGCAAGGATGCTAACAAATATTAATATATGGATATACAAATATACATAAATACATGTATATAAGTATATACATACATACAAGTATACATAAATGCCCTTTTTGACCAAAGTACTGTCATACCAAAATCATTTGGCTATGCCTTACCTAAATTCATTATTACTGTGTTTCACAAATTATGCTCCACAAAATTCCTTATTATAGGTGTTAGCAAAAAATGTATCAGCTGGTCGGGGAGGATCTCGAGGTTTAATAAGCTCTTTTATCTTAGGAAGTCTCTGACATTTTAATATGCACTGTGACTGGCAGAGCATATGCACTGTTGGGTGGGATATAAGCCTACTGGTTAAGATGCCCATGTCCTATATCAGAGTACATGGGTTCAATTCCAGTTCTGGCTCCCGAGTTCAGCTTCCTGGTAATGCAGATCCTGGGAGCAGTGGTGATGGCTCAGGTAACTGGGTCCCTGCCACTCATGTGGGAGACTGGGGTTGAGTTCACAGCCCTGGGCTTTGGGATGGCCCAGCCCCTGCCATCGTGAGCATCTGGGGAGTGAGCCAGAAGATGGGAACTTTCTGTCTTGCTCTTGCTGCCTCTCAAATGTTTTCAATTAAAAAAAGTGTTTATAGGATTCAGAATTTCTAAACTTGTTTCTGAATAACCTGTTCCATGCCCCCCTCCTTCCTGAAACATCTCTCAGCATTGGGATTCTACAAAAGCATGTTTGAAGATGTATTCAAGAAGAACTAACACTAACAACTGATGGACTTCCCGGGAAGGATATGCTTTTAAGTGTCAGGCCCTCTTTGAACCTGAATCAAATTCAGGTGAGAAAGGCCAAGCCCTCAAAAAAGAAAAAAAAAGTAGAGCCTAAGCCTTAACAGCTCCACTTCATCAGTTCTCCAGAATTCCCAAAAACCTATTTCTCCATAATAATAATGATGTTGTTTCAAATCAGTGTGGACAAATAGTATAACAACTGCTGAACACTCTAGGGAGGAAACTAATGCAGCATCGTAACAGAAAGCAAAATATCAATAGCAGTCATTTCTAGGTGGTTAATATTACAAGACTTTTTCCTTCTTCATGCTGTTCTGGGTTTTATAAATTTCCTAAAATGTGCCATAGTTTTCTAATCAGAAAAATAAATATAAATTTCATTCTTAAAGGTAGTCTAATGTGCTTTCTTCCCAGGGGAACTTTTATAATAAGAATACTCACAGTGTTAGCATTTTCATCTTCATAACCAATAGAATATAGAAAACCTACATCAAAAATGAAAACTAAACATGAAAAATGACCCAAAACTGCTAGACTTGCTTCTTCCTCCTGTGCCATGGTGTATAAGCTGTCCTTCTGTAAGAAAGGAGAACTTCACTTTCTTAAGACAAGTGTAACATATCACCAGAACGCTCTATTTCTAACCAAGTGGGACCCAGATTAGACAAAATAGAAAAGACAGCATTATGATCAGTAACTCTCTTCTGGAAAAGTCACTTCTGCAATGGCTTCTGATGCCTGCGATTGGCTGAATATTGTTCCCCCTACTGCCACCAAAATACAGCCACATCCTAATCTCTGGAGCCTGAGAATGTTAGTGTGTTTTAAAGATGTATATTGCTAATATGCTTAAGTTATGAATCTTGAAATAGGGAAGATTGTCTTGGATTATCTGGGATGACTGGAAAGGCAGTCCCACTTGTCCTTTTTAAAGGGGGACAGAGGAATACATGACAAAGACTGAGAGGAGAAGGCCTGTGACCAGAGACAGGTGGGAGTGTTTTGTCACAGGCCAGTGAGTGCCAGCGCCCACCAGAAGCTGGGAGAAGCAAGGAATGGACTCTCCCTTAGAGCGGCCAGGGAGGCATCCAGCTCTACTCACAGCCCAGCTGAACTCATTTCATCATTCTGGCCTCCAAAACTGAGAGAGAATCAATTCAGCTGATTTTAAGGCCTCAAGTTCATCATAATTTCTTACAGCAGTCCTAGAAATCTAATGTAATATCCCTAAGGAAGAAAATGGTCTTGATTTCTCTCGGAGACTGACCAGTTCCTGAAGGCAATCAGCACCTCTGGTGACTCCCTGGGGCACCTGCTTATGAAAGCAGGATGCACGTCTTGAAGCTTCATGTGCTGAAGGGTGTCAACTCTAAATGGGAGATCTGAGCTCAGTCACATCAAAACCACCTAAGAAAACATGCCTTTACCATCAAACATGTAATTCCTGAGAGTCTTAGTTTATGTTTAAAATCATCTTTCTGGCCAGGAAATAATGAAAATATACACCTGACACAACCGCATACACACCTATAATCCTGATGTCAAAAAAAAGTCCTATAATTCAGAAACTAGAGAAAATTTTAAATAGCAAACAGAGGGGAAACAGACAGTTCATTTACTTTAGTTATTGATAAAGCTTTGAAAGAATAAAACATACACTGTGGAAAACACAGGCAACTGGAGGTACAATTGCTGTACTTGTAAATTGAATTCATTCCACTTAAAAGCTCCATTATCTCCTGGTACTACCAAAATTGAGAACAGGTTACTGCTTTTAACGTTTTTAATTTAAATGTAGGCCCTTCTACACAAAGTTCAGTGACTTATTACACTGATTGAATTACAATTCTCTTACTATCTTGAATTCCAGGAAACCATTTCCTTCAAACATTAGTACCACTAAGATACATGCCACACTTACAGGAACTCCCCATTCATCCAAATAAATTTCATAATACATACATCACTTAATCAACCAAGGCAGTGTTACCGTGACATAGAAATAAAAGTAGTGGTACTGGGGCTGGTGCTGTGTGTAGCAGGCAAAGCCACTGCCTGCAGAACTGGCATCCAATATAGGCAACAGAGAACCAGCCGCTCTACTTCCAACCCAGCTTTCTACTATGGCCTGGGAAAGCAGAAGATGATCCAAGTGCTTGGGCCCCTGCAACCATGTGGGAAACCTGGAAAAAGCTCCTGGCTTCGGGTCGGCCCAGCTGCAGCCATTTGGGGAGTGAACCAGAGGATGGAAGATCTTTCTCTCTCTCTGCCTCTCTGTAACTCTACCTTTCAAATAAATAAATCTTAAAAAAAAAAAAAAAAAAAACTACTGGTACCATGTATGGGAGTACTATGTGACACACTGTATTTCCAGTAGTCTTCTGAAAAAATTTGGTGTCAGAAAATGACAAAGTATTGTAGCTTAATGTATCATAAATATGGAAAGACTTACATAGAACTACTGGAACACAGAATAACAATGCAAGCAATTCACTTTTCTTTATCAAGGACTTAATCCCTTTTCCTACCACCTCACTCCACAACACATTCCACAAAGTGGCCTCCTACCTCCATGGGAAGTGATGGGAATCCAAATTTGAATGTAGATTAACTCTAAATAAAGGTTAGCCAGTGACTTGGTAGCTGTTGCCAAACAATTTCACCCTCTTCACAGCAGACAGGTAGGCAAGATTTCCCAGCCTCACCTGCAGAATTGAACAGAAGACAGATCTGCCCAATCAGATGCAGGTACAGTGCTGTGCACTGCTTCCAAGCCTGGCCCAGAAACCCTCAAGGAAATGATCCCCCATATTCCTTTCCCTTCTGTACCCGTTTTGGGAGCCACTGTTAAGGAAGGCTGGCAGTCACAAAATGGACAGAGCCTAGAGGAATAAAAATAAACTACTGGCATTTATGTCTTATACTAGCAATACATTGACTGATACAGTGGCCTTGCTTGATTTGTTAACTGATAATTCAGTTACAATAAAAATACATTGGGTAACTCAACACATGCCAAAAAATAAGGAAACAAAGACAAATGCCAAAAACTCACCAAGTCAAGGAAATAACACGAGCAAAGATCCAGTGATGTATGTTCCTAAGTCTTACAAATGAGAACGCAGTTCAGGAAGTTTTCGTGGAAACAGGAGAGTGCTGGTAGGGAACAGGACACTCAACTTCATTCCTCAAGCATAGGCAGGGAGAAGGTCATAATGGGCCAGAGACTGTGGGCCCTGTGGTGATGGAATGAGAGCAAGAAGTAACAGATGAGGCTAAACAGACAGGTAGGGGAGGCATGACCTTAGGCTTGCAATTCTCTGCAGTACCTTTCCCATTTTAGTACCACTGCCTAATGATGTTGATACTTCTGATAAAGACGCTAGATTGTAACCTGAAGCCACAGAAGTCACTGAAGGATTTTATGGTAGATACAGATGGAGTGATGGGGTTAAAACTATGATACTGAGGGGCTGGCACTGTGGTGTAGCAGATAAAGCCACTGCCTGCAGTGCCGGCATCCCATATGGTAACCAGTTTGAGTCCCGGCTGCTCCACTTCCAATCCAGCTCTCTGCTATGGTCTGGGAAAGCAGTATGGCCCCTGCACCCATGTGGGAGACCAGGGGGAAGCTCCTGATTTCAGGTTGGTGCAGTTCTGGCTGTTGTGGCCAGTTGGAGAGTGAACCAGCAGATGGAAGACCTCTCTCTCTCTGCCTCTCCTTCTATGTGTAATTCTGACTTTCAAATAAATAAATTAAATGATACTGAGAACAACATCTATGTCCCAAGTAGAGGTTAGATTTTGGAGGTTTTTAAAATTTTTTATTATTTTCATTTTCTTTTAGAGGCTAGGGTTGTTACTAAAGGCAAGCAAACAAAAACAGATCAGGTTTAGAAGCTACTGGAATTCCTAATTTATGGACCAAAGGGTGTGTACATCTCAAACCTTCTTAAACTAAAGGTAACATTTTTCAAAAAATACATATTCATTTAGGCAAACCACTTCCTTATGAATCTAAAAAGGTTAATCTTTTTTATGTGTGCTTATTACATGTGTAACACAGGGCATTTCCATTATATATATCATTCTAGATCCTTATTAAAGAGAAAAAAGGGGCCAGCACTTGTGGCTCACTGGGTTAATCCTCTGCCTGTGGCACCGGCATCCCATATGGGCGCCGGGTTCTAGTCCTGGTTGCTCCTCTTCCAGTCCAGCTCTCTGCTGTGGCCCAGGAGTGCAGTGGAGGATGGCCCAAGTGCTTGGGCCCTGCACCTGCATAGGAGACCAGGAAGAAACACCTGGCTCTGGATCAGCGCAGTGCCAGCCACAGCGGCCATTTGGGGAGTCAGCCAACGGAAGAAGACCTTTCTCTCTCTCTGTAACTCTATCTGTCAAATTAAGAGAGAGAGAAAAGAGAAAAGGCTAATAAATACAAACTAACATCCCCTCTATCCAGAGCCCAGCTGTCAAGCAGCCACACCCATGATGGCTGTGTAAAAAGTGAAAAGGTCTGAGAGGCAGAGAGAGATGTCACACTGGCCACTGACTGCAGACATGGCACTTTGCCCACAGGGAAGTCCCTCAAAGCCTTATTTTGACAGTTAAAATTGTATAGAAATACAATTGTAAAGAAAAGGTAAGCATCTAACTTTTAAAACAGATGTTGTTTTTTAGAGCAGCTTTAGGGTGACAGATAAACTGAGCCCGGAGTAGAGAGAGTCCACATACCCTTCCCTGGCTTCCTGTCTTGCATATGCACAGCTGCCTCTATCATCAACATCCTGCACTGGTGTAGTGTAGTTATGAAAACTGGTGAACCACCACGGATATATTAGTAACTAAAGACCACAGGTGACAGCAGGGTTCACTCTGAGCTGTACATGCCAAGGTTTTGACAAACATCACGTGTCCACTTTTACAACAGCACGCAGGATACTTCCACTGCCCTAAAAACCCACTGTGCTCCACCATTCACCTCTCCATTCCTCTCTCCCCTGACACCGTAGGCAACCACTGATATTTTTTTTGACAGGCAGAGTGGACAGTGAGAGTGAGAGACAGAGAGAAAGGTCTTCCTTTGCCGTTGGTTCACCCTCCAATGACCGCCGCGCTGCGGCCGGCGCATCGCGCTGATCCGATGGCAGGAGCCAGGTACTTCTCCTGGTCTCCCATGGGGTGCAGGGCCCAAGCACTTGGGCCATCCTCCACTGCACTCCCTGGCCACAGCAGAGAGCTGGCCTGCAAGAGGGGCAACCGGGACAGAATCCAGCGCCCCGACTGGGACGAGAACCCGCTGTGCCGGCGCCGCAAAGCGGAGGATTAGCCTAGTGAGCTACGGCGCTGGCCCGCAACCACTGATCTTTTACTGTCTTTTTAAGTTTTACCTCTTCCAGAATGTCATAGAGATGGAATCATATGTATGTATGTAGCCTTTTCAGATTGGCTTCATTTAGTAACACGCATTTAATGTTCTTCCATGCCTCTGCATGGCTTGTAACTCGTTTCTTCTCATCAACGAACACTATTCTGTTGTAGGGATATACTATAGCTCATCCATTCAATGACTGAGGGACATCTGCACTGTTTCAAGTGTTTACCAATTATGAATAGGCTGTTGTAAACATCAGTGTGAATCTTCTTCTATGGACATAGCTCATTGGGTTAATAATGAAGTTTTCTTGCAGGATTTTTAGCTTTCAAAGAAATTGCCAAATCATCTTCAAAAGTGGCTATACAATTTGCCCTCCTACCAGCAATGAGTGAGAGTGTTGTACCACATTCTCACCAGCATTTGATGGTGTTAATGTTTTGGATTTTGGTCAATCTAATAAATATGTAATGCTATCTCCCTGCTTAATTTCCAACTACCTGGTCACATATGGTGCTGTATACATTTTTATATATGTTGATTTTCATCTACCCATATTCATCAGGGAAGTGTTTAGGTTTTATGCCCATTTTTAAATTATTTTTTGTAATATTGATAAAAAAATTACAGGTTTTGTGGAAAGCAATTTTTATGAGAGCTGTAATTTTTGCAATGATTTTTCCTATCTGTGACTTGTCTTTTCATTCTCCAACAATGTCTTCAGGACAGAAAAAAATTTTTAAATTTTTTTAAAGATTTTTATTTCTTTATTTGAAACTTAGAATTGCAGAGAGAGAGAGAGAAGTCTTCCATCTGCTGGTTCACTCCCCAGTTGGCCACAATGGCTGAGGATGAACCAATCCGAAGCCAGGAGCCAGGAGCTTCTTCCAGGTCTCCCACATGGGTGCAGGGCCCCAAGGACTTGGGCGATCTTCTACTGCTTTTGCAGGCCATAGCAGAGTGTTGGATTGGAAGTGGAGCAGTTAGGACTTGAATCGGCATCCATATGGGTTGCTGGCACTGCAGGTGTTGGCTTTATCTGCTACGCCACAGCTCCGGCCCCCCAAATTTTTAATTTTAATGAAAACAAATTTCTCAACATTTTTCTCTCGTGGATCATGCTTTTGGTGCCTTCTCTAAAAAGTCATTACTAAACTGAAGATCACCTAGATTTTCTCCTAAGTTACACACTAGGAGTTCTTCAGATTGTATTTTGCATTTAGGAGCATGACTTTGAGGTACTAGGATTTTAGACTAAAAAACCTTGTGGAAGGTTAAGAGTTTGTGCCTACTTTTCTTGCGTGTAACCCTCAGCTGTCCCAGCACCACTGGTTAAGAGACTATCCTTTCTCTAGTGAATTGCCTTTATTCCTTTATGAAAGGTCAGCTGACAATATCTGTGTGGGTCTACTTCTGAAGTCTCTTATCCATTCCACTGATCTAGCCATCTGTTCTTTTACCAATAGCATGCTGTCTGGATTAGAATAACTTTATACTAAGTCCTGGAGTCAGTGAATTTTTTTAAAAACTGTTAATTAGAAAGGAGACAGAGAGAGAGAGAGAGAGAAGGGGAAAAAAAAAACATAGGAAGCTCACAGGTCACATTAAATATGAGTGTACTTCAAAAAGTTCATGGGAAATGGAATTAAAAGATGTTTATTTTGGTCCAAGAAAAATTGAAATCCAAGCAATTTTTTTCATAATATGTATTTTCATTTATTTTTAAAAAATACTTTAGTTTTTCACAGCTTCAATACACTTCATATAGTTCTGAGAATATATCCCCTTTCTCCCTCCCTCCCTCCCCTTCTCACTCCCTCTTTCCCCTTCTCTTCATTTTTAAAAATTTATTTAAAATATTAGTTTTTAATAGATTCAATGTGATTTGTAGAAACAGTTCTAAGAACATAATGATATTCCTTCCTTCCCTCCCCAGCCCCTCCCAGTGTACACTTTCCATGAACTTTGTGCAGGCCCCTTGTATACCTGACTTGGATGGAACAGAAGCACCTGGAAGCAGACCCAACTGTGCACTCAGCCTGGATCCCAGAGCAACGACAATGTGGCCAGAGCCCTCAGCTGCCCCATGATGAACCTGATGAATGAGTGAGAAATAAACTTTTGCATCTTAAGCCAACCAGGTCTGAAATTGTTTTGTTCCCGACATACAAGTTGCTTTCTCAGCCACAGAACCCTGGTTTGTGACTATTTTTGACAACTTTCAACAAGGAAAATCACTTTTGATCCCCAAATCCTTCATCAAAGATAGAACAAGCACCAAAAATACTCCTCTCCGTGCATCAACATAACTGGGATGGGTCTTTGGTCTTGTGGTTGAGACTCTGGTTAGGATACCTGGGCTAGTGTTGTGACACAGTGGGTTAAGCTGCCTCCTGCAATGCCAGCATCCCATGTCAGAGTGCCAGTTCAAGTCCCAGCTGCGCTACTTCTCATCAAGTTTCCCTGCTAATGCACCTGAGAAAGCAGTGGAAGATGTCCCTAGTATTTGGGCCCCTGCCTCCCTCCCAGATGGGAGACCTAAATGAAGCTCAGGCTCCTGATTCTGGCCTAGCCTAACCATCTGGAGGGTGAACCAGTAGATAAAAGCGTGTTTCTCCTCTCTGAAATTTTGCCTTTCAAGTAAATAAAATAATGTGTGTGTGTGTGTGTGTGTGTGCTTTATACTAAGTCTTGGAGTCAGTGATTTTTTTTTTAACTGTTAATTAGAAAGGAAACAGAGGGGGAAAAAAAACCACCACAGGAAGCTCACAGGTCACATTAAATATGAGCATACTTCAAAAAGTTAATGGAAAATGGAATTAAAAGATGTTTATTTTGGTGCAAGAAAAATTGAAATCCATGCAATGCTTTTCCTAATATGCATTTTCATTTTTTTCTCTTTTTAAAAAATTATTAGTTTTTCACAGGTTCAATATAGTTCATAGTTTTTTTTTTTTTAAGATGCTTGTGTCTCATACCAAAGTACCTGGGTTCCAGTCAGCTCTGTTCCCAATTCCAGTTTCCTGCTAATGTAGATTCTGGAAGGCAGTGAGACAGCTCAAGTGACTGAGTCCCTGTTACCCATGTAGGAGACCTGGACTGTTACAGTTCCCAGCTGTGGCCTTGCTCACTTCCAGCTGCTGTGGGCAACTGGGGATCCAGCAGATGTGAGAGCTTTCATTCTGGCTTTGTCCGCCTCTCAAATAATAAGGGACAGGTGTTGTGGTGCAACAGATTAAATGTCCATGTGGGATCCCACTTCTTACATTGAAGTATATAGGATACCAAATACACAACCAGAATGGCCCACAGGGAGACTATTGCCAACCATGAGACACATCTTTCCCCCAGACCCTTTATGAAGGGCTCAAGTTTTCTGTCACATCCCATTCTCTGAACTGTATAATTAATTACTGTGAATATTCACATTTTAATACATATAACTCATTTTAATAGGACAGACCTCAGCAAACTGGTTGTGCAGTCTTAATCCAGCTGTTACTGTCAGTACCATTTTCTTGGATCACAGCCACACCTACTTGTTCATGCATTATCTACGTCTGTTTCAGCCTTCCAACCTCAGATCTAAGTAGCTGCAACAGAGACCATATAGCTTGCAAAGCCTTATTATTATCTGGCCCTTGGTAAGAAAGTTTGCTGACCCCTGAATTGGACTATGGATTGAGTCCATTGAATCCTTTTATTGTCTTCTGAGAACTCCAAGTTTTAAAGAGCATTTCCACCTTTAAAGGCCTTATCTGTCTACTAATGTCAATATTCCTATACCTCTAAGAAATTGTTAATGGCATCACCTTTCAGGAGAGTTAATGGAGGGTTTGCAAAAGAAATATCTGCTCTTCACTCTATTCTTCCACACTGACTATTTCATCAACAGCACACAGTAAACCTACTTTCTCTCCACATGCATGTATGTATGAAAATTTTAACTAATTAAGGAAATGGATCTAGCAACCAAGTTTGTGTGCACTGAAGGTTCTATTAGAGTTCATTCTTCTTGCCTCAGCCACTGAACAGTAAAAAAACAATCTTAAGAAAAGCCGTGGCTCACTAGGCTAATCCTCCACCTGCGGCACCAGCACACCGGGTTCTAGTCCCGGTTGGGGCGCTGGTTCTGTCCCGGTTGCTCCTCTTCCAGTCCAGCTCTCTGCTGTGGCCCGGGAAGGCAGTGGAGGATGGCCCAGGTCCTTGGGCCCTGCACCCGCATGGGAGACCAGGAGGAAGCACCTGGCTCCTGGCTTCCGATCAGCGCAGTACGCCAGCCCTAGTGGCCATTTTGGGGGACAGGGTGAACCAACGGAAGGAAGACCTTTCTCTGTCTCTAACTCTGCTCGTCAAAAAAAAAAAAAAAAAGAAAGAAAGAAAGAAAAGAATTAGGGGCCAGCATTGTGGAACAGCAGGTTAAGCTTCCACTTGAGATACCAGTACCCTTCATTACAGCGCCAATTTGAGATCTGGCTGCTCTGCTTCCAATCCAGCTTCCAGCTAATGCTTCCATAAAGGCAGCAGAAGATAGCTGCAGAAGAAGCCACTCACATGGAGACCAGGAGGGAGCTCTGGGCTCCTGGCTTAGGCTTGGCCTGGCCTTGGCTATTACAAGCATATTGGGCAGTGAACTGGTAGATGGAAGATCTCTTTCATTCACTCTCTCATCCCCTCCCTCCCTGTCATTTTGCCTATCAAATAAGTAAAATCTTAAAGAAAAGAACTAAGTATCAATTAAATGTCAGAAAAGTATTTATAAGAGTGAAAATTAAAAACCATGTAAACATCCAATTCTTGAAAAGTGACCATAAAAAGAGATGGGTTACATAAGTTATGGTATATCCATATACTGAATTCCATATTGTCATCATAATACTGCATCAGCTTTGCACTTATTCATAAAGATATTAACAATGCAATGTTAAGTGGGGAAAACTAGATACAACAATATGAATTACATTTTCCTACTGTAATTTGAAAATAGAGGTTTATGTGCATTTATAGGTACTGAGAATTCAGAAAGGCTGAATGTCAAAATAGTAAGAGAATGTATTAAGAAAGTATAATTTTTTCCTATTGCTTTCCTGTACTTTTGGAATTTCCCACAGTAAACACAGATTCCTTATCATTAATTTAAAAAAAAAAAAAAAAACACGAAACTTTAAAGATGCTCATATGAGTCGGAAGGGCCACTAGGGAACAATCTGGAATGCTGGGCACACTCTGCTCATGATCCAGAGACCTGTAACGTGGGAACTGATAAAGTCATACATTTAAGTATATTTTTGAGGATAAAGCACCAGAAGAAAACATTTTTTAAAAGATCATAGAGGCTGGGGCCGGCGCTATGGAGCAACGGGTTAATGCCCTGGCCTGAAGCGCCAGCATCCCAAATGGGCGCCGGTTCGAGTCCCGGCTGCTCCACCTCCCATCCAGCTTTCTGCTGTGGCCTGGGAAAGCAGCAGAAGATGGCCCAAGTCCTTGAGCCCCTGCACCCGCATGAGAGACTTGAAGGAAGCTCCTGGCTCCTGGCTTCGGATCGCAACAGCTCCGGCCGTTGTGGCCAACTGGGGAGTGAACCAGTGGATGGAAGAGCTCTCTCTCTCTCTGACTTTCCAATAAATAAAATAAATCTAAAAAAAAAAATCATAGAGGCTCAAAAGGGGAGGAAAAAAAAGACTTATATACTTCATCCCTTATAAAATCCCATTCAATCAGCATTTTTCAACTACCTTCCACAGCCTGGCTGCCATGTTAAGCATTCAATTACAGCATCAAAATGAAGACACTCAGAATGAAGTTACAGAACCTGGTTGAGTACACAAGAAATACAGATAAAGGCACACAAGTAAGTACAGGCTTGCATGTATGTAAACTGCAGGACTCAATTAGAGGTTCATAAATATCCAATGAGCTCACACAAAAGGGAAATTTATTGGCCCAGAGATTTCAAAGTCGGGATGAAAAGCAAATGTAGGGCAGAGAAGCCCATAGGCCTCTAGTTCTCAAATGGAGACAATTTTCATCACCCAGGAAACATTTGGCAATGTCTGAAGACATTTCTGGTTGTCACAAATGGGCAACGGCTATTGATTTCTAGTAGGCAAAGGCCAGGATCATGCTAGACACCCTACAGTACCAAGGCAGCCTTTTACAACCAAGAATAATCTGACCCCAAATGTCAGCATTGCTGAGGTTGAGAAATGCTGACCTGGACCTGTGTCTGGTATGTTGGCTGGCTGCTTTCAACAGCATCTAAAAGTAGGTCAGAAATTCAGAATCTTGGCCTCACCCCAGATAATTTAAATCAGAACTCGTAGAAGATCCCAGGAGTCTCAGGAACATTAACGTTTGAGGAGCAGGACCTTCGGTTCCCACAACAACTGGATCAGTCACGATTTTGCCAGGCATGTCTCTCCCTGTGTGACTTTCCTTCTCTCACTACTGACGAACTTTGGCCATGTGCATGGATCCAGGCTGCTGTGGGTTCCTGTGGCTCACATCTCATACCTCCCTCTGTAAGAGACAGATTCTTCCCCACATCCAGAGCTTACCAAGTAGGAGGTGGCTCATATAGCCACAAAGAAAAATAATGGGAGTACCATTCCTAGAATTGGATCAGAGAAGCTCACATTGAAAATTTAAGCTGATTTATGAAAAATAAGGAGTTAAGTAGAAAATTAAGACATGTGTCAAGGGGCTGGCGCTGTGGCTTAGCAGGTTAAGCCACCACCTGCAGTGCTGTCATCCCACATGGGTGCTGGTTTAAGTCCCAGCTGCTCCACTTCCTAAGTAGTTCTCTGCTATGGCCTGGGAAAGCAGTGGAAAATGGCCCAAGTGATTGGACCCCTGCACCTGCATGGCAGACCAGGAAGAAGCTCCTGGCTCCTGGTTTTGGATTGGCCCAACTCCAGTCGTTGCAGCCATCTGGAGAGTGAACCAGTGGATGAAAGATTGCTCTCTGCCTCTCTGCAAGTCTGCCTTTCAAATAAACAAACCTTTTTTTTTTCTTTTTTTTTTAAAGGAGACATGGTGAAATATTTACTAAGCACCTATTTTGTTACAGATACTTTCTGGACCTGGGAATGAATTAATGAAAAGAACAAAGTCCAGATACTTCCTTGGAGCTTATATTCTCTTGAGTAGAATCAGATAGACATACAAGCAAAGAGACAACACAAAGCAATTACAGAACATGAAAAATGCTCATAAGTGGAGAGAAGGAAGGAAGGAAATAACGGGGAAAAAAGGATGATGTGATAGATCACCTAGAGCACAAGGACAAATATTTGAGGAGAGATTCTTCAAATGAGCTAAAATTTAGGCTGAACCCTGAAGGCTGAGGAGTCAGTCAGCCACCAGGGGAGGGCATTCCACCAAGAGATCATCCAAGGGCCAGGTCTGTGGCATAGTGGGCAATGCCACCACCTGCAATGCCAGCATCCCATTTGGTCACTATTTCATGACCCAGCTGTTTCACTTCTGATCCAGCTCTCTGCTGGTGGCCTAGGAAAAGCAGCAGAGGATGGCCCAAGTACTTGGGCCACTGCCACCCACAGAGGAGACCCAAATGAAGCTCCTGGCTTCAGCCTGGCCCAGCTCAGGCTGTTGCGGTCATTTTGGGAGTATAACAACAGTTAGATCTCTCTCTCTCTCTCTGCCTCTCCGTCCTAGTCTGTACTCTTTCAAAATAAACAAACAAACCTTAACATAAAAAAAGAGAGATCATCCAATGAAAATGCCCTGAGAACTTGGTGAGCTCCAGGGGAAGGTGGGGTTGAGGGGGCTAGAGGGAGGAGGGATCAGAAAGGGAAAAAGTGTAGAGCTGCAGAATCAGAGAACTGCAGTCCTGTTGGTTACACAGGCCGCTACTCTGACCCTCAGGCAGGGCGTGGAATGCAGATGAGGGATGCTCCAGGTCCAGACAGCCTGGTCTGAATCAGGAACCCACCGCTTAGCAGAGGCATGACCACCGCCTGGTGTTCTGAGTACAGGTGATGTGTGAAGGCATTCGAGGACGGGAGTTGGCCAAATCTGGCCAGCTGCCTGTTTCATACGGCCCGTGATTGAAGAATGATTTTTACATTCTTATTTGGTCATATTCATGTAAGTACACCTGTCTTATATTCTTGATTTTCATTCTTGGTGTGCAAGGCCTAAAATATTTTTCTTATGTGTCTCTTTACAATACACAATACACCAGCCCTGTGCCGTAGACGCTTCAGAGGTGAGAACTACTGCTGCCCCCTGCCATCACAAAGGACCTGCCTCCCAGCCAGCATCACCTGAGGACCCTTAGGTAACGTTCCAAAATTACTATTACCCCAACTTGCATTTAAAACATAGGCAAACAACTTTCTAAGAACAAACAGTCTCTAAGAAGTTGGAGGGAAATGTGTATTATGAAAAAATTTCACATAGACTTCAAAAGTTGTCCCAAAAGAATTCTGTCTTAATTCAGTTTTTCCACGAATTTTCTGAAGTACCCTCATACAACTTATTTTTAATTCTATTATTAAAACTGAGTTTTCTAAGTCCCTAAAACTTATGATCTTTCCATCTGTCTGGAAAGCCTTCACATAATTAAGCTCTCTATTAATCTGTTCTCCAAGCCAAATGTTTTGTCCCCTGTGTACCTGAGACACAGGCAGTTAAGGTGGAACTGTATATCATGCAAATGTGGAATGTATCTCATGTTACACATTTCATGATCAAAAAAGGGGTGAAGAAAAGAAAAGGAGGTGGTTGTTCCTAAGGGTGGTACCTAAACCGAATCATTGTCCCTATTTTTATTTTTCTTATTTAACTAATTTTCAATAATGAATATGTTACTTTTATAGTGAGGGGAAAATACTTAATTTTTTTTTATAAAGAAAGCAAGCTTAAGTAATCAGCCTCACCATGGTATCTATATTGTACTTTTTAAAGACAGCGCTATTTTGACAGCCAAAAAAGACACTTAGGAATACAGCATTACAAATTCAAGATCATGTCTATGAACTTGGCTTTAAAAAAAACTTTCCACAAAAATACAATCTACCATCTGTACAATATATTCAAAAATGATTAGCATAGTATGAAAAAATAATGCTGGAGATTTTTTTTTCATTTTTGAGAATGCTTCCTACTCAGTATTCTTTTCAGATTTCTCCATGAGGTGTAAGCAACGGCGAAACAGAACATCAGGTTAAGATGGAAACAGGAAGTAAACAAAGATGAGAAAGGCACAGTCGATATTTTTTACTGAAGATGTGCCACAGCTCTAGAAATCTGACAGAGCCCAAGAGAGAACCCTGGTCTCCATTCAGCAATGCCAAGAGCTGTCCTGGGAAACCTTGCATTTCTGGTTGTAGTTGTTAAACCTGGGCCTGCCATTAGAGCTATAAATGTCAGCACTCTGACAGCAGGACTCTCACGGGCAATGCTTGGAGGTGTAGGAAAAGTGCCTCTCAGATGACTGAGGACAGCCTTGTGCCCTGGATGCACTCCTGAAAAAATCCCTCCACCTAAACAGGGGTCCAGCTGAGAACTCACACCACATAGTCATTCTAGGCTTTTATGATTTATTTTTAAGATTTTTATTTGAGAGTCAGAGTTAGAGAGAGATGGAGAGAGAGTCTTCCATCTGCTGGTTCCCTCCTGAAACGACTGCAAAGGTTAGTGCTGGGCAGATCCAAAAGCAGGAGCCAGGAGCTTCAAGGGCCCAAGCACTTGGGTGATCTTTCACTGCTTTCCCAGGCCATAGCAGACAGCTGGATCAGAAGTGGAGCAGCCAGGACTTGGAGCAGCGCCCGTAAGGGATGCCGGCGCCGCAAGCAGAGTTTTAGCCTACTATGCCACAGCGCCGGCTCCAGCTTTTATGATCTTAAGTCACACTCACATTTGCAGAAATAGATTTTCATAAAGAAGATCCCGCACGTCAGTTTTATGAGATCGCACCCCAATTATAAGTGTTCAAATAGTCTTCCCAAAATGGAAAAAAAAAAAATGCATCCAATTCATACCCATTGGAGACTACCACGTAGGCATTGTGTCTCATAGGACTAAGGAACGCTCCATTTGCTCTGAAAAGCAGGCTGGGGGGTTTTGCTCCAGCACCAGAGGAACCCTGCGGATAGGCTTCTGTTTGTAGGAAAACTTGGCCACACCAAGGTGTTCAAGAGACCAACCTGCTGCACTGCATGGCCACCAGAAGCTCGATGCCTGGCACACAGCCTCACCCTGGCAGCCACAATCACTGAATCTGGCCAGGAGAGGAGTCCTTGAAAATGCATGAAGTTGTATTCCTTAAAGTGAATTGTGGGGGGAGGAAGGATTAGGTGTGGGCTACCTAGGCGTGGGCTACCCTCAGCCCGCCTTTCCTCCCTTCCCCCAGGCAGTCTGCTCCTCACCTCAGGGAGCCAAGGCCCACCGGTGTGCTTCCCAACACTGCCCAAGGCCGTCCCTTCCAGTACAAGAGCAGACAACCTCAGGACTCCCAGAACCCTCTCGGTTCTCTTCCATGTCAGGAAACGCCTTCATCGGCTGTTGGAATGGGCCAAGGCCCTAACGCTGCAGAACAGAAGGCTCCTTTGCTGCTGACTTTCCTGTTACAGGCGGAAAAAACAGAACTTCACACCAGTGACAGTGACCCTGCCAAGAGGTAGGTGAGCGTTAGATGAGCTGCACAGATGAACACCATCCCGGATTTCCAGACACTGCTGAAGAAAGCAGCAAGGGCCTCAGCAAACCTTTTCTGTGAAAAGCTAGAGAATAAATATCCTAGGTCCTGTGAGCCACATGGTCTCGGCTGCAACCACTCAACTCCGCTGTTCTAGGGCGAACGCAGCCACTGAAGATACACAAACCAAAGAGTGTGGCTGCGTTTCCATAAAACTATTTACGGACACCGAAGTGTGAGTTTTTTTATATAATTTTTTGCAGGTCACAAAGTATTCTCCTTTTGATTTTCTTCAACCATTTAAAAACATACCAATTTTTAGCCCACGGGCCATATAAAAACAGGCAGGCTATAGTTTGCTGATTTCTGCTCTAAGGAATGTGGCAACTGTCTTATTCAGCATCCTAGCACGGAGAATGCAGACTGCAGTCTTTTTCAGAAGCTTGCTAATTCGTGATTTATCCCTTTCCCTCCCTCACACCAAACCTCCAAAATATTCCTCTAGTGGAGCTGCTTGTCTCTGCTGCCATCACCCCTCCCTGCCCTCCACTTTCTCTTCTACAGCTCTCTCTCACCTCTGTCGGGGGTGGGGCAGGCACTTGGTGCAGCAGTTACACTGCTAAGTGGGACACCTGCATGTCATACTGGAGTGCCTGCGTGGATTCCCTTCCTGGCTACCTCTCCATTCTAGCTTCCTGCTGATGCATATTCTAGGAGGCAGTAGACAGGTCAAGTACTTGGTCCCTGCCACCCACCTGGGAGACCCAGATTGACTGGTTCCTGGCTTCAGCAAAGTTCAGCCCTGGCTGCCGTTGGCATTTGGAGACTGAACCAACAGATGGGAGATATATTTTCAAATACATAAATAATTGCATTTTAGAAAAAGCGATTGGTTTCAGAATAAGGGACCAAGTCATTCCTTATTTAACTTTCTTCAAAAATACCTGAAAGTACTTAGAATAAACTTCAAATGCTACTGTGAAGTGTAAGGTCCTTCCTCCCTAACTTTATTTGTGCCCCTTCCCTTGTCTTTGACCACCCTGGGTGGTTCATTTTCTATGTCTACTTGTCTGGGCTGTAAGATGACAGGCACCTGGTCAAACATTGTGCTGTGTGTGTGGAGGGGAGGAATGTTACTGGATGAGGGGAACATTTCAGTCAGTGGACTGAGTAAAGCAGAGGTCCCCTCTGCATCAGGACTCTCCAGAGAAACATAACCAGGAAGATCAACATACAGCTAAGTTCAGATTGAGCCATATTATAAGGAATTGGTTCACACAATTGCAAGGCTGAGGTGGCCCACGATCTGGTGTTTCTACCCTGGAGACCAGGAAAGCCAGTGGTGTGAATTACAGTTTGAGTCTGAAGGCCTGAGAACCAGGAGTGCTGCTGGTGTCTGTCCTGGTCCAAGGGAATGAGAAGCCGGATGTCTCAGCTCACGCTGCCAGGCCTGGAGTGAGAGATTAGCCGCCTTCTGCTATTTTGTTGAACTCAGGCCATCCCTGGGGTGGAGCACTCCATGCCTCCAGACACACACACGCACTCAGGGTAGGGTCATCAGCCCGTTGCCAGAAGGTTTAATGACGTAAACCTGGAATGCCTTTCTGGGATCTAATTCCAGGGACCTTGCAGCTGAGAGTGCCAGGGCCCATACCAGGCGATGGCTTTTGCACTGGATAGAGCTTTTGCCTCCCGTCCTGTGTTTAAGCAGTGATTTGTTAGCTTCCGGCTCCTAACCACGGTCTGCCAGTTTCCCTTTTGGATCCCTGGAATGCCTATGCAAAAAAAAAAAAAAAAAAAAAGCCTACAGAGGTCTTTAGATAGGCTTAAATCTCAAACTCGGAAGTAATGGGAGTGGACTCAAAGGACAAGCAATAAGACTAATAGCAAACAGCCATATCACCGTCTCCCAGGCCCCAGCCCCCCCCCACTCCTGTGGCCACACCAATAACTGAAAACCCCGGGGAGGACCAGGGAACTACTGTGGGAGTTCACCAGCAAGATGTACAGACTGCTTGTATTCATTGTTTATATGGAACTAGGAAATAAAACAGCTATTTTAAAAAAAAAAAAAAAAAAAAAAAAAAATAGTCCACCAATAAGAAAAAAAAAATGCTACTGTCTTCCAGAGACACCCTCAGACACATCCAGAAATGATGCTGAACTCGATAGTTGGAATCCCAAATAGGATGGCACATAAACTTAACCATTCCACCCTCCCTAATGGACAGGGGTCCTATCCAATCAGCTACAGTCCTAAAGAGAACATACAGGCTCAGCTCCTGCCCCATTGCCTTTAAAGTGGGAAACAGACTTCTTCCTGCTTCATCTTCTAATTGACACAATAGCTCTTCCTGGGTATCAAGCCTGCAGCCTTTGGATAAAAACTACACCAGATTTCATGGTCCTCAGGCCTCGGGGCTCAGACTGGTACTACACCATCAGCTCTCCTGAGTTTCCAAATTGCTGACACACCTTGCAGATGTTGCGACTTGCTTGCCTCTGTAACTGCATGAGCCAATTCCTTATGCTCCATCTCTGGACACCCACTGCACTGTCCTGTTTCTCCGGAGAACCCTCAGTCTGACCACAAAGCATCACACACTCTCTTCCCTCTTCAAACACAGGATGCTCTTTACACATAAGGAGCCCTGCACCTTTCCTTGTTTGTGAATGTTCATCACTCGTTCAAGTCTCAGCTTAAGCTTCTCCTAATATCCTTTGAAAAAGTTTCCTTTCACCCTCTACCCATGATTCTCAATCTCAGCCTCTTGTTCTTGTTCCCTTCAAAACATTTATCAAGTCTTTAAGTGTTTTATTTACTTATTTGTGCCCATCTTTCCTGGAAGGAAAGTTTCATCAGGGTAGGCACCACATCTGTGCTATTCATGTATCCTCCAGCCCTAAGGCAGCGCCTGTCACAACACACACTTTCAATCAATGTGAAATAAATGAATAGCCTAGAGTTTACATCCCCCTTCCTCCTTCTTTGGCTCTTTCATCTGCTTTCCTAGAAAGTGATCCTTGTGTAACAGGAGGATACAGATCTCCCCATAAGGCAGGGGTGAGGATCGTCCAGCCTACTGGCTGAGTACGGCTTGTGAAATCATTTGGTTTGGTCCTGCCAAGGCATCTGCAGCTGGGACTTCAAATTCAACCAATCTATAGCAGGCTAGTTTTTAAGTTGATATTTCTGTATGGCCCGTGGCAGAAATAGAGGTTTTCCACTGCTGCCATCAGCAGTGCTTGTACCCCTCACTGCTGCGACACCCCGTTGCCTTCCCGCTCCTGTTCTTGCTTTCTGGACCCATCAGTGGAATGAGGATTTACTAGGCATTCGTATTAGTGATAACAGTGAAGTCACCGCCCCCATGTCATTCACAGAAGGGACCCTCTCTCCCATTACCAGACTGTGCATCTTGGAGGTCTGGGTATCTCCACTCTCCAAGGCACATGGTAGGTGCTTAAGGGTTTGCCAAATGAACCAACTTCGTCACACCATTTCCGCATTCACTCAGTGTGGCTTCTTTTAAATCAGAAAGACTCTAGGTATCAACGGTAGATCAGAGGATGAGAATTAGTAGGTACATTTTTTTTTTTTGACAGGCAGAGTGGACAGTGAGAGAGAGAGAACAGTGAGAAAGGTCTTCCTCTTTCCGTTGGTTCACCCCCCAAGTGGCCACTACGGCTGGCGCATTACAGCCAGTGTGCTGCACCGATCCGAAGCCAGCAGCCAGGTGCTTCTCCTGGTCTCCCATGTGGGTGCAGGGTCCAAGGACCTGGGCCATCCTCCACTGCACTCCTGGCCCACAGCAGAGAGCTGGACAGGAAGAGGAGCAACCAGGACAGAATCTGGCACCCCAACCGGGACTAGAACCCAGGGTGCTGGCGCCGCAGGCAGAGGATTAGCCTAGTGAGCCACAGCGCCAGTTATACCTTTTAACAATAAGCATCTCTGCTTAGAAATGAGATTTAACAGGAAAAGTCTTTGCTTAGAGTTCATTGGCTTAATGCCACCATTCCCAAGTAAAGATTACTTGTGTCCTATTATAGTTACAAACCTCTGGTAAGGTCTACCCAGTCCTGGCTTGCTTGCTGTTCCTCACAAGTGCCTGTGAGCGAAGTGATTTCACAGAAAGCCAAGTGATCAGAGCATGGGGTGCACCGACTTCTCAGTGGCCAGTTGTGGTGAAGCTCATGAGCTTCTCACTGTTCTCGCCCACCTCCTCCTCTGAGCTTCTCTCCTGCTTCAGAAACTTCTACAGGAAGAGCATCTTCAATTTAGGTAGAACGATCTGATCTCGGTGCACACTATAATTTAACTGAAGATAAAATAACCTGTCAGCACTAGTTACGCAAATTTTTCTTCCTGCAGTGCCGAGTCCCCAAAGCAAGACCAGACACAAGAATCTGAAACCTGCCAGGAACTAGTCCTGGGAAATCTTCCTCTGCTACAACTGTTCTGTCACAGGGAAAAATCACAGGCTCTGAAAGCTTCGGGCTCCTTTGCCTGGGATAGATTCTGCTCCCCCAGTTCTTATATACAAAACAGCTTGACTGGGGTGTTCTTGCATGTTTTTTTTTTTTTTTCTGGGTGAGAAGAGCCCCTTCCTACCTGCTCCCCTCAGAGAGGCTGAATCCTCTCCTTTTTCCAGTGTGGATTTCATACTGCAAGATGCTAAGTTTTGGAAAAACAAGGCATGCACTTTTACACTTGCCCAACTTTGTGTTCACACAGATAAACAGGCACCACCAGTGGTGATGCCACCCCTCCAGATCTCTTGAAGTAGGTCCTTGACTTAATATTAACTTACAACTGAGCACTTTCTCTTTGAATGTAATTCTCCTCACAAAGCAGCACCTTGAGGTGTACACTTCAAAACAGCAGCCAGAGCGAAACTGCAGGCATTATTCTTCCCTAGCTCCAGACTAGGCAGGCTGTGTGGTTTTCAGCCTTCTGATACTATGTTGGGGAGATCCATCTGTCACATGGCAGAAAGAAAACCAATCACATGGGCCATGTTCTAAAGTGATCAAGTACTGGCCAATGAAGCTGGTGCTGCTTTTGATTCATTACAAATACATTCTCCAGGCCCGCACTTATACAAGGCAATGCAGTTTAGTTGCTACTGCACTTCTTTCTGTACAATTCTTCTTTATTTGGCCCAAAGTATTCCTTGTGAGATACTGCTAAGAGTCACAAGGGAAGGAAGGCATTCATCGATCATGCAGCTCCTAAAGCTCTATTTCCACAACGCATGGTAAGTGCTAGAAACGAAAAAATGTCTCAATTTGCCTGCAAATCTCCAACATGGTTTTCTAATAAGTCTGTCTACAGGGTAAAAGCATTGCTCTGCGTCTGACTGGTGAAGACTCCCACGGCTGCTGAGATTAAGTTTCTAGCAGGACTTCCCCTTCTCTCCTCAACTGTATGAGTGGGAAACACAATAGTCTCAGCTTGATTTCAGCCCTACTTTCTTCTCTGAACTTACACTCTGGTTTTCTTTAGAAGAGAGCTATTTAAAGTCAATTGTAACCGTAAAAAATAATGACAATCTCCCAAGTATTCTCAGGGAAAAACTGCTGCACCTTGCTTAGACACCTGTCTATCCAGGAACCCACGGCCACAAAAGCTGACGAATTGTCCCCAAAAAAGTTTATTCCAATAATCAGATCAGGGTGGGCTTTCCACAAGTATAATTTATTGTGTGGGGGTGTGTTCTATGGTAAAACACAGAAAGTACAGGGTTAAATAAAAGTTGAATGGGTCCTTTTTTTTCCAGAGTTTCTCTGAGGCTTTAATATTCTGATATGTGATGTGAATCTATTACAACTTTTTTCTCACTGAATCTTAATGAACTGCAATCTTTTGTAGGGCTAATAGAATTCCATGGAATAAATTTTAGAATCTCATTTAAAAGTATCAGAAACAGTTTACTATCTTTCCTGTCTCTTATGTACATAGTACATGTAGACTAACATAAAATACAGTACAGCAACATGGAAAAGAGACAGGACAATGAATACATATCATAATGCTCTTTGGTATTATTACTCATATTTCCCACCTAGTTGATATCTCGGGAAATTCTGGTAAGGGCCTTTCCCCCAAAGAACAAGGCGATTTGATGAAAGCATGAATGAACAGAACAAGGGGCTTCAAAAAGTGTGACTGCCACATCTGTTAGTAGTGCATTTGGTAAGCCTTCCCCTGTCACTATATATATTCAGAAATAATGACAAAGAAATGTAGTTCCTCCGGGCAAATGAAATGGAGGTGCAAATTAGAATCACACCTCCAGTCTCATTTTGGTATCACTTCTTGTCTGGATAAACAACACTTACTCTCACTCTCCTACTCATGGCAAGTAGCCACTGTTAACACTTGCATTAGGGATCAGTCACAACAAATTACAGTTAAGTTTCACACTGCACTGCAGGAGGCAGCCCCAGCCCCAGGAGAGCACCGAGCTAAGCTGGGCTGCATTACCAATTTTCAGATAACTAGCATTGGGGCTGAAAAGGCCCTTGTGCCTCAGCCGCATGAAGTGGTTAAAATTCTAATACTCTAAGTGGTATCTTAATATTTCTGTGTATGGTAGTTTATTATTCTCTGTGGAGAGCAGCAGTGGGTAGCTGCTTGCAAAGGGGTGATTTTAATCACCAATCATTTTCAAGAACACAAGAGATCAGTGGTACTCAACTGTGAAAGCTGTACTGTAATGGGAAACTGCCTGTGTGGATTAAAAACACAGATTTCACTTCAAGATAATTGTGTTGG